TTTTGCTGCACATTTGGCTCAGAATGCTTTTGGAAATTCACACTGCATTTTTCTACAATTATCACGCGGTATCACGATGAAAATGCATTTAGGAAAAATGGCATTTAAATGATAATTTTGCTACAGTTTTTGCTTGGACATGTTAAACATCTAATCAAATCTAATCTAAATTATTATTAATTATTAATCAATTTGGGAAATACAAATTCATTTTAATTTTGCAACTTATAAAGCGTTAAAATATGTTTTTAATTTACATATTAAAACTAGAGTAGGAAATGGCAAATGTAAATTATAGGGATGCACCGATATCGGGCCCGATACTGAGCTCCTGTACTCGTACTCGTTATGAGGCAGGTGAAAAGCGTTTGGTTAATGGGGAATATTGACCTATTGTGCGTCTTGTTGCCAAGCCCCGCCTTTATATATTGATTGACAGGTTGGGGGCGTGATCGGCTCGAAATGCATTTTCAAATCCACATCGACTTAAACTACATTATCGCGGGGTATTTAATGAAAATGCAATTGAAACATCTGAAGTGTAAGTGTCAATGCATTAAAGACATCTAAATCACCATTTTGCTGCACATTTGGCTCAGAATGCTTTTGGAAATTCACACTGCATTTTTCTACAATTATCACGCGGTATCACGATGAAAATGCATTTAGGAAAAATGGCATTTAAATGATAATTTTGCTACAGTTTTTGCTTGGACATGTTAAACATCTAATCAAATCTAATCTAAATTATTATTAATTATTAATCAATTTGGGAAATACAAATTCATTTTAATTTTGCAACTTATAAAGCGTTAAAATATCTTTTTAATTTACATATTAAAACTAGAGTAGGAAATGGCAAATGTAAATTATAGGGATGCACCTATATCGGGCCCGATACTGAGCTCCTGTACTCGTACTCGTTAAAATGCCCCGATACCAAACGCCGATACCACACAGCATGTGATAAGTGCTGTATTCAGACAAAGAAACACCGACAACAGAACAACAGACAGCAGACAGCAGAATGGAGTTATTAGAGAGTAAAGATGTCTACGAAGTATATGTATGCAATGAATATAACGTTAAACATTCAGTATTAACGCCTGTATAGCTGATGTGAGCGAGCTGATTAACAAAGCACGCTGAGTGGATTGAGCGCGCGGCGGCGCAGATGCGCGAGCTTGTCGAGTGAATATACCTTTCTCACAGACATCACTGGAAAGTGTGTAGTTCGGTCGGATATGTAAAAAACAAGTAAGTAAAACAATGCACAAGTTACCTAACGGTAGGGAGAGCGAGAGAGAGAGAGACAGA